TTTGAATGGGTTGTGTAAAGGGTAAGGGCCAGGTTGTCAATTTGTAGCAGAGACCTTGTAGCTTAATTGTTTGACTCTCGGATATTGCTGGACGTACGTTACGCAAAGAAAACATACATTGAGAACGCTGTGTTAAAGCGGTCAGTTTTGGTGCACGTAGACTAGCGAAAGTGAACCGCCACCACCTCCATATTTGTTGACAACTCGACTGTGGTTAAATCGTACTAGTAGGACAATTGAACCTTAATGAGTGTATGAAATGCGAACGAAAGCAGATATTCAAGCGAAGTGTATTCAATGTCGATTGTTTTAACGTTATGAACCACGTGGAAAACTTTGCAGAACCCAATATTGAAGGTGTTCGAGTGAGTTCAAAGATGAATCGCTTCTCAAAGGAACTAGTGACATCCCCAAAGGGAGCATTTCAGCCGCTGTTCTGTATGCTTTAAGCGAAGAGAGAACAGAGTGACGGACACGTATGGGATAATGAATCAATCATAAACTTTCTTGTCAAAATCGCAGTAAGATAGCAAAGATTGCACAAAATTGCTAACCCGGATAAAGCTAATAGCTTGTTAGCTCTTCATAAGCGTCACTCAATATTCGGTTGGACTTACGAGTTACGCCTGCTACCTTTCTTTGATCAATGGTCTTCTGACGACGTGCTGGTCTGTGTTGAATGTCTAATTACAAAGTTGTGTTTCTAAAAACCCTGTCATTTGAAGTTGCTTAAACTACTTTTACCTCAATGTGTGGCTCATTACTGTGTAACTAATACTATGTGCTTGGGTCTTTCGGGCTGTCCACCCGCCCAGTAGCTGCAGTCCATATTAACTGTGAAAGGGCAGTGTCCAGAGACGACAAATTGTTGGTTTATTTTCTACTTAGACCCTCAGGTGCAGTTGAGTGCTATTTGATTCCCTAATGCCCAGATGTATTGTTTTACTGCGGAAAGGTTTCAGTTGCATCTAAAAATGTTGCACGGATCTCCAATACATCCCATTTGTCCGCTGAGCTACTGTTTGATATGCCCTGAATGCGACAATACCAGGACACATCCTTCATTTTACGCTTCAAAACTTATTGATTTTGATTGATGGCGCTAATTATTGACACTAAAGATCAGGAGGCAGTCTCAGTGATGACCGTATTACTTATTTTGATCTTTACCATCGTACTTCCCTCTCTGCCTTAATTCTGTTTAACTCATTCTCCCGGTTACTACAAGCATGCACTCTTAGTTTGTCATCCGCATCAACCATTAATTTGTTCCGTAGACCACGTCCTCGATTTTATTGCAGTGCCTTTCCTTTCCCCATTAGATCTATGCCGACAGCTGGTTAAATGTCTGTACGCTTTACTAATCACCCTGTTTTCGATAGTTAGTATATGACTGTGATTTGTTGACCATGCCTTGATGGCCATGCTTAACATTGCAAAGAACAAAGGTTTATTCATTTATTTATCAATATAACTGCTTCTCCCACCTCAACATCAACTCTTCGAAAGCATGGCTGAGCAAGCCATAAATCTCCATCTGTAAGGGAAGGCTGAAAGCAAAGCAACTGAGCTCACCTAGTCTCACAACAACTCCGTAAAACACATCATATCTTCTTTGGTCAGGTCAATTCACTATCCAGGTCTAGAAACGTCCAGGCCCTTCGCCCTGCCTTGCCTTGCCAACAAAGCTGTAGCATTGGAAATTCATATGCAGCTACATTGATGTGTTGATTCTATCTTTCTCTCCTCTTTCGCGTTTACACGAAACTTCACCAAGTACAGATAGCTTGTCCTCTGTTACTCAAGATAATTATGTACGACTACGGGATACTGGTCTGATTTTGGTTGAGAAATCCTACTGCTTTATCCCTTTTCACGTTCCTTTCCTTTTCATGAGCCTGCCACTTCCATGGTATACCCGATCTCCGCCGGAAATAAAACCGAGATTGCTCGTGAGCTGACAGGAAACCACATTGAAAACCCCAAAGAATCTTCCCAAACGTTACCAGTGCATCCCAGTATAAGCCCCAAACATTGACAACCCTGCATGCGTGAGCATGTCGCACATGTAAATACGATCCGTTCCTTTGTGGGTACCGTTTCTCGATAAAACCAGGTATATATACTATTATTATCTGATTGTTTCTGTTCCCATCTAGGACCCAACTCCTAATGTCTACTCTGTTCGATCCTACCAACCTCTACCTCCGTCGGTAACCCTGCAGTGAAAACAGCAAAATCGTGCTAGTTGGGGACTGGTAATAAGGTAGTGCGCACGTCAACCTTGCCAGCCACTCATCAGACCCTGTAGCTGTGTGATCTCTCGTCTTAAGACATCACTGTAAATATATCGCCTGCGCTCACACATTTCCGATGTCGACCAAGCGCTGTATCACAGTTAGCTTGTAACTCATGACTGTGTTCCGCAATCACAAGTGGCCTAGTGGCATAAGCTGCTGGTTAGTGGCGCAATTCGATAGTGTCGGGAGGTCATAGACACGGATTAATGATAGAGCCGGAGGATGCGCACCACTGAGGCGTCGTGATTAGATACCACGGTTGTCTGGTGTTTTTCCGGATGCGTGGCGGGTCATCTGCACTGAAAACCACCGCGTTGAACTCGCAACCCAAATACAGTTGGTCAATAAGCGCTGCTGTAAAAGGAGCACCTTCAGAAGAGAATTAGAAAGCATAACTTTTTCACAGTGTCCTATAATTGTTCAACGAGGGCGAAAAGGAGTCCACAGACAGTGCCCAACCGAGTGTCTCGGAGGGTGGAAACGTTTACTACTTGTCGGCTACAATACAACTAAGGTACAAACAACAGCATCTCTATCAGGAGATTTTAGGGGAACAGCTCGTGAAGCGCTCGAGTCGATGATGAATGTCACACACATCACCTAAGCAAGTGTGATCATCACCAGCAGATAATGAGGCATCACTACGTCACACTTTTAGTTTCGACATCAAAATGCCACTGGAAGTTTGGGTGATACCCATACGTCCATGGTGCCGGTCGGTTCAACAATCGGGATTGCCGAAAGTCTGCCATCCTTTCTGCTAACCTTGTGGCTCGCCAGTTGGCGTTGGATTAAGCATTCCGGTCTCGTCACGTTACGTTGGAGCCACTTCCTCCTTCGATTTCAAGCTGTAGAAATCATTCGATGAATAAACGAATATTTTGAAATGGACTGTTCGCGCATCCAGACAGTCAACTTGGATGCCTTCCAAGATGAAGCTGAGAAGTACGCAATTAACAGGCCTGATGATGCTAACGGTGTCGGTGGTGATTGTGCCACTTACTCTATACCACCATGCTGCCAACTCTTGCTATCTACATAGCTTATTCAACTGATTATACGACCATACGAACAGCTGACTGTGAAGTCATTGTGCGTAAGAACACGGACACATAGAGGACACTGATGTACTGTGTACACATGATCACGTCCTGCTTCGTCTGATAACACGCGCATGTATTCACACACGAGTCACATATATCGTCAGGTAGACCGTGGTTCGTGATAACTAAGCATGAACGGAGATCTACGACCTCACCACGGTAGTGCCAGTAGCAGCCAAACACCGTCCTGTCAATTAGGTATGAAAACTCTGCAAAGGATTCACGGCAAGAAGCTACTCATAAGGGCCGCATCATTGGAGTAACCGAGCTCGTCTGGACGAAAGATGAAGCGCCGTCTGAAGGAAAATACATCGCAAGTTGTTCAGGTGGCGCTCTAAATATTACAATCTGGAAACTGGGATTATGATATCAACTCCAGGAAGTTCCATCAAACAGAAACAAAGACACAAGATGTTATGGGTGGTGAATTGTTATACAAACAGTTCATGGGACTCGTTTGCTTTTGTAAGGGAAGTTACGCGTGATGCGCGCTAAGATGGAGCAGGGTGACCAATGACTTGTTTTATATAATACGCGAATCAATATAGCAGGCTAGCAGTGTAAGTCGGGAAGACAAAGTGGAGGAGTAACCGGAACAACGCCAGTGGCAAAAGTCACTCCCCAGGCCAACGTTTCATCACACCAATAAAAAGAATGAGGAGTAACATTAGCGGTGCCTGATAGAACGGATTGTTCGGACTCATTTTCTAATCGTCCTCGTAGAGGAAAGAACAAGCCGTTTGTTTGACTGAAGTTTTCCAGACAGTATCCTAAATCGAATCAGTGCAACTTGTTTGAGTCACGTGGACGTTCGATATCGTTCTGGTGCTGGTGCGGGAATGATCAGTGCTAGCGATCAAATATTGTCTTCGTATTCAGCCTTGAACTGGCCCCATGCATCGGATATTTGGATGTTCGATTGGTTTCGATTCGAGCACTTACTGTGTGCCGAGAAGCGCGCCACGCTTTTTTTGACTCGCAAACTGCGCGTCAATAAACAAAGTGGACAACTGGGGCTGATCAGATGACATCACAAGATGCTGGTGTTATGGAACGGAAGAGGGCCAGTAAATCTTCGTGATGGCTCAGAGGCCCATAATCTTTACTTAGTGGAACTTGGATTTCTTTCACTTCTGAATCTTGTTTAGTTCAAAACCAGTTTTGAAGGGCAACTGACTCTTACGGTTAGAACAAGGTTTACACGTAATCTGATGGATAGTAGGGACCCATTAATGTTGTTTCTTCATATTAAATGCACAAGTACTATTAACTATTAACTAACTACTACTAACTACTACTATCAACCAACTACTACTAACTAACTAACTACTAACTAACTAACTAAATAATCATTAACTAATCATAAGGACCCAGACTTATATGCACCGCAATCCGGTACCAGAAACGGAAGTACTAACTAATGGGAGCACAGGGATATTTGCACTGGGGTTCGTTTGAGGCCTGTCAATAAACTGAGTCACACTGGATTAAGGCTATCAACCATGGAAATATACCGACTGGACTGCTTTCGCTATGGGAAATAACGGGGGTTAGCGAAGTTCACCATAGCGGTCGCACCTAGCCCTCAAATGCTTACCTGAGAATATCCACAAAAGCCACTCCCATCGGTTTAACAGGATAGTGCAAACCGTGGCTCTCGCACAACTCCCTCACATACGGCTGCGCTTTGATCAGGTTGTGCCGTGGCATTGTGGGAAAGAGGCTAGAGAAACAAAAGCAAGATGTTCATTTAGAGGAGAGTTTTCGGTGAGGCACACATAAGAAATTCAATGGTGGCTGATTTGTGTCACTTGATGTCGGTTGAGTTTACTAGCATGATTGTTACTTCCTGGTCGGCCGCCAGAATTGCAAGTGATCAAAGGAAGATCAAATACATGACTAAATAACTAAACATTTTATTCTCGACAACGCGAGGCACACCTTTACACGCATGATCATGTTAACATAACTAAGTGTGGTCAAAAAGGCAAAAAATACATGTTAATATAACCATGAATGTATGCGGGTGGGTCTACATAGGTACGTAATTGTTATGTATGTAGCTGTGCAGCTTGTGCCTGTGTGTTGCTGTATTTTTTTGACTGTTTGATACTGTCAAGAATGTGAGAATATAACAATGATGTCTGTGGCTTGGATAGCATTATCCGGATATCCACGGCGCAGTGACTTTAATTTGTGGCGAGTCACATCCACCAGGTCATAGTGTTGTTAAGCAGACATTCGTGGCTTTTTACAGTGAGAACGCTTGCCAGGCAAAAACCCACCACATCCTGGAACAATACCGCCGAACTATTTGGTGGAGCGGGTTAAACCCGAACCACCCAGCTGGCACCATGAAGAGGTTGTTCGGCTAGCCAAAACCCAGCTTGTAAAGTCGTCTGAGCATCTTTGGCTCCCATAGACATCACTGAGCTTTATTGCTCAGAAGGAATGCATACCATGGAGCAGGTTTTAGAAAGTCCCACTATCTCCACGCGACAGCATTGCGTTCCATCAATCCGTTAGATACATGTCTTTGATGTCAATACAATTTCCGAGTCGAGTTCACCAATACAGATAACGAGTTGAGGTGTTCCGATGTCAAATTCTTCTGTTGTTGTGACAGTTTGGTCCATTGATTGATTCGGGCGACAGTGACGCCCGTACCGACGTGTGGCTGTTTCGTTAGCTTAGCGCCACCAGCCAATAGGATATCGGATGCATAGACATCAACGTGTGCGCATGTATAGGGCACAGGGGTGTAAGTGATTCCCTTTAGCCCGGACATACGCGCATGCGAATTGGCAGGTGAGCGTTGATGGATTACATAACAGGGGGGTGTCATCATCAGCATACAGTTTTATAGAAGTGGGAACCACCACAGCTATTGTGCCGCAATACATTGGAAAGGAAAATAAGACACAACAGAAGCACGCTAGCTGAGCCACCGGTAACGGGTGGACATCGTTCCGGAGAAGTACCAGCTGGCTATTGTGCCGCAAAAGAAGTTATCTTATGTAGATGGAAGTTGGGTATTGCCCACCCGAAAACACTGCACAGCCGGGTGGGCAATACCCAATTTCCATCTACTTTGAATACGGTCCCAGCGATCGCAGTGACTAAGGTTCATTTCAATGTGAATCACAGTCCATTAAATTGTGGTTGCGTGTCGCAATCCAATCACACAACGTGTAACCCAAACTTGACCCTCCAATAAGTTATCTTATGTATCAGAAATGAGGTCGTGGTTGTAGGAAAAGGCTAAATTGAAAGGGGGAAAGAAATCCACAAGATGAGAGCCACTGAGGACGGTTCCCAGCTATATCGAAAGTGTATTCACCCAAACGAGTTCGTCGTCTTTCGGACCCCAAACAGGGATTCTGACACTCTAACCGAGGTTAACTTCCAGCTAAGGACTAGGTCATCGTTTGGCTAATCCTCCTCTTCCATCCACGCCCCTGGCGCGCAAACAGCGCCCGACGCTAGAGTCGGTATTCTGGCATGCGCAACACGTGGTCCTTCCATCGGAGCCTGGTTCGTGAAATAATGGTGCTCAGCGGTTCACTTCCTCCTTCTGTGCCATTAACAAGGCGTTGACCGCGCTCATTGCTCACACGCTGTACCCAACTGATATAGGCAAAACTGCGAAGGCAACAGTGGTCGAATGTTACCAGCCTCTTTACGTCTGCCGATCTAAGGGTCCAGTTTTCATAATTGTGGTGTAATGTTGAACGTACGGCTGCATTGTAAACTCTACCGTTCAGAGAGACATTTGTGACTCGCCGGCCCCATAGGTCGCGAAGGCCAGCAAAACGCGTCGAGCATTTGCTATACGGTTAGTAACTTGGTCTTCGATTCCACAGGTGCTGATACAACTGCCTAGGTAGTTGAATTTCTGAATGAATTCTAGATGATCCTCATCAAGGGCCAGCACAGGAGACGGTGCCTGCCAACCTTGGAGGAATGCTTCGCACTTTGAGAGTGCAAAGCCAAGTCCAAAGCGGTCAGCAACCATTGCTAAGCTGTCTGGTGTTGCTTGGCAATCTTAGGAGGTGTCACCGATAACGACAATGTGGTTACATACTCCAAGTCAAGAGGTCCTTCACCTGGGAGCAGCTCTACATCTTCTAAGTCTGGTGCAGCGAACGAGATCTACACGAATTCGTCAATAACAAAGTGGTAGTGGAAACTTGAAATTGGGCATGCAGGTCTGACAGCGCTGGAGATATTGAACGGCGGCAACAGCTTGCCGCAAGCCCTCACTCTGACCTAGCTACGCGCGTATAGTGCTCGGAAAGTACTTACATATTTATTTGGAACATCAATCCTTAGCAGACAATCCCAAAGGGCACATCGATGCACCGTATCGGAGGCATCTTTCATCTCGATGGACGAGACAACGGTGGGCCGCATATATGTGACTGTGCTTCCACAATTTACGTAAAGTGAAGATATGATCGTTGTGGTCGCGACCTCGACGAAATCTGTTCACTGCCCACAAATCTTGTTTTCACGAGTGCTAGTCAATCTGTGAAGGATGACAGAAGCTAGTAACTTGAACGTGATAGATATCAGACTGATTCCTCTAAGTTTACCGTATTCCGAACGTTAGGCTTCCTTGAAGACGGGGACAATAATGCAGCGGCTCCAGACGGTTGGGACAATTTCCGGCAAGGAATGTTTCATCAATACCTAGTGCAAACCATCCACAAGAGCAGGTCCTCAAAATCTAAAGAGGGCTGGATGAAGAACATATGGTCACCCGACATTGTCCAAGTTAGGTAGTCCGATCTCACGTTTGCCCTCTGAGCGAGAGAATACCTAGTGCAAACCATCCACAAGAGCAGGTCCCCAAAATCTAAAGAGGGCTGGAGAAAGAACATATGGTCACCCGACATTGTCCAAGTTAGGTAGTCTGATCTCACGTTTGCCCTCTGAGCGAGAGATTGAATCAAAATGACAGCCCAGGGAGCAGCGTAATCATTGGCCGGCGAGAAACCTGGCAATTCCGGTGAATTAAATTGCCTTCAAAGTGCTCAGCCTAACGCTCTAAGCATTCTGACAAGTTGTGGATCGGCTGTCCACTCTCGTCGCATATAGTTTCACCAACACCAGGCCTTCTACTGGCAGTTCCCCGTATCAAAGGGAATAACTTGCGATGATTGTTAAGGGCAGCGATCACTTCCATGTCTGACGTACGATGAGACGATCAAGATGCCCAGTCTCTTTTCAAGCTAGCCCGGAGTTTTGCCTTCAGGTTATTGCGAGTCTCCTTGTGCTCGCTTCTATCTGGAATGTGCCGGCGAGCATCGATAAGTTCCAGAGACTGTGAAGAGGCCCAATGTCCATGTTGGCTATCGGATTTACCACCTGAGGATTTACTTACTGCGAATAAGGTCTAGTGAACACAGGACGGGTGACCTATAACTGTATTCAGTAAGCACTTGTTCAACCCGAGATCCAGCGTACCCCGATAGCATTCAGGACACCTGATTTCGTCCGTGGACGGGGGTCGCGCTTACAGCCTCGTTGCGGACGTCCACTAAAAGGCACCTGCGGGTCAGTAGCCACACATACTCCAAATCGAACGCCAGTTTTGGACGCAGCATCTCTATCGATAAATGATCGCGATGTGATCGATTCTCGTCCGTGACTGGTCCAATGCTGGCGGACACCATACCACCCTTCTGAGGGTGCGGTGTCGGATGTTAGTGTTCGCAAGAAATATGCGAGCATCTTCACACAAATGAAGTAACTGCTCATCGTTATTATTATTGGAGCGTCCACTGTGTTCGCCGTCCAGATGCAACTCATCGGTTGCCATAAGTTGACTTGAGCGTTGACATCCCCATCCATCAACACAGTATCCTTGCTTCTTCTGTGACGAAGAAACTCATTCGGTTAGCGATAGATGTCGTCTTTCAATGAGTCAGCGCTGCAATTTGTGGGGATGTAGACAGCAATGACAAACAGACTTCGAAGTTCGACTTCGAAGTTTCGGACATGTCAGCTAGTCCGACTGCACAAATCCGACTACTGATTGGGATCCAGTAAAACAAAGCAGCTTCAGCCTGGGGACTCAGAGCAATACCCACACCGGCTTGACCGACACTCGACACTGCAACATCTCCGGATAAACGCAGTGAGAAAGCATTGGTACTGTCTTGTGAAGGGGATGACAGAGTGAGCACATAGCTTGAGTCTTGTAGAAGCGTTTCCGATAAGTAGTAGATGTCGATCAAAAGGGTCTCTAATGTTCGGGCAAATGCTGTCTGTTGAGCGAGGACAATAAATCCGGCCTCATGGCTGGCAATACACCACATGGACTCGCCATAAGCTCCACCAACCAACATATGTAAATCCACGCACGAATACTGCCTAGAACTTATTGAATTCAGCCCAGAAACAGTTATAAGACTTCTAGCTGAATTTAACCCGAAATCCCCATCAGGCTCTAACGGACTGCTTCTCTTTTTCCTCAGCACAGTGGCTGACTATGCTTCCTCACTCATCGGCCCTCGTTCATTTGTCTTTAAACGCTTGTTTAACCATCGACTGGAAACCTGGGAACTAATGTCTCAGTTCAAAGGGGAAATTTTCAGGATCCTGTGAAATATTGCCAAATATAGTTGATATCCATCGTCTGAATGATCATGGAATGACCATGGATCGTCACTTCGTCTACCCAGTTTGGTTTCCAAAAGTGGCATTCGTGCTCCACCAACCTGTTATTGGTGAGAGAAAACAGCAGGGTCAAATGATGCAAGACAATACTTGTGGCTTTGTCGTTTTTAACAAGGTGTTCGATAAATTCCCACACCAGCGAATTCTCTGGAAGCTTATGAAAATCGGCGTTAGTGGCAGCATTCACTCGTGGATGCCCACCTTCTTGGAAGGACGAACCATACAAGTGAGAGTGAATGAAACGCGTTGCAAGCCAATGCTCATGAACTGCGGTGTTCTACAAGGATCTGTCCTTGGATCCGAACTGTTCAAGATATACACCAACGATCTTCCCGCAACACTCCAAACCGACTACTTTGTCTATGCTGACGACCTCAAGGTGTGGTCTGAAGTGTCTGAACTTGTCACAGCTGATAGACTACAGGTGACCCTCGGTCAATTAGACGACTGGTCCATCAAGTGGGGCCTAGCAGTAAATTACGTAAAATAAAGCACTCTACCGCTTGTGGTTTCTGAGTCACTTGGAACTAAAAAATTGTGGTTTACTTCTCAAATACGCCGCTCAAGAGAAAGAGCTAGCACTACGGATAACACCTAACCTGAAAACCACACAGGATACACGGAAAAGGGTCGCGGCTGCAAAAAGGATATGCTGTGTCATAAGTAGATCCTTTTCTGGAATGATACGTACGATTATCAGGCTTCAGTTCACTTCTCACGTGTGACCGATTTTAAAGTATGGTCTGCGAGCTTATCTCCACTCTCTAAGGTTGAATGTGCCTTAATCGAAAAGGTTCAGAATCCTGACTCTAGTCGGTTTCCGGGCTTCGTGATCATCTATGCGCCCTCCAGTTTCAGCAGATGAGTCTGTCCTTCATGGAATATTGTCTTTGTTGTGAAGAATTCATTTTAAGCATGCGCAAAATAAGAGCAAAACGAGGGAACGAACTACAATAGCTTTTCAAACCCAACATAGGTGGCTCGACACGAGGTCGCAACTGGAAGCTATTCAAACCGAGGAAGCTCAAAGTCTGCATCACAGTTGCTCTTTCCTCTCAGGTAATGAATGACTGGAACCGTCTATCAGAGCCTGTTGAGTTGCAGAACGAGGAATGTTTCAAACGGTTTTTAGACACCTACCTACGTAAGACTCCAGGACCGTACTGTCTTACTGCGACTGCTCCGATTCCCTAAGAACTACCGGGTAGCGATAGACGTGCTCCTAGTGCTGAACTTCAGGTGACGGGACTAACATGTGACCTCTGTGGTGCCCTCTACAACTCAATAAACGCAATGAGGCATGTCAATCTGAGGGAAGATCGAGGGCTCTAAATAGAAACCGATGTACTGGACCTGACCGCTTGGTTGTATATGGGCTTGTCGACTGGGCAGGAGTGAAGTACAGCGTTTACCTGTGAGCCTATCAAAGCAAAGTGGTGGCGGTCCAAGAATTGGGGGTGGGTTGAAAATAGGGAGATGAAAGTGGATTTGGAACAGGACGATAAGGGAGAAAAGAGCAGGAGGGGATATAAAAAGACGGGAATGCATGGGCAGTAGTATCCAAACCTCTAGCCACCCTGATCGATTCAGCAGATAGGCCGCATTTGACTCTCCTCTGAGATGCCAGAGCATCAAGAAATGGTTTGTTGATAGATTCATTGTATTGCATGGGCTTGGTACTGTCAATTAGTCTGGGGTTGGGTGTAATAACTTGTTAACATCTGAGATCAACAAGGGCGGGTTGACGATCAACTGTGTTAATGTGCGATAATGAACTTGAACGTGATTCACAGTACCATTACAACGGAGCTTGTTGTCGAAAAGCAACTACAGGCAGTGCTTAGGCTCCGTACTGGCCGACACTTTTCAAGATAAGGTTACTAGAAAACCAAAGTGGGGAGAGATCTCAACTTCCTTAATGCAAATGACATGTTGAAGAGATTCTCGTGTTCGATTCTTCGAGGATGCAAGTTGAACACTTGCTGAAGCATATTAATAATGGCCACGTTAACTTTAATGTCATGCATGAATTAATGATGAATGAAAGCCTGTCGTACTTGGGCATTCTCATCAGCCGAATGGATACCAGACATGTTAGCTGTCCGTCTATCCGACGCCAACGTGGTGCGGTCTATATCTAGGCTTTAGCAGTTTTAGACCGATGGGGTACAATCGTACACTGGAGAAAACTTTGCTCATTCCAGCTAGGCGCATTTGCTCGAGCGAATGTCTGGCTTAGGAGATAGACAATGACCCGAATGCTCATTAAAAACCACTAAGGTGAACAATACATTCAGAAGCGTAACCAGGTCAGACAGCCGAAGGAAACGATGTTGACAAAACCTAAGGAAAAGTTATACCTACATCTCCAAGTTAAAAGTAACGTCTCCACAATGAGGACAGGCGCTTGTTGCCTGCCATTCAGAGAATCCAAGGCGCCTCAGATGCTGTACTGATCAACCTATCTCGGAATCCGTGGTCAAACTCAGTAACAGAGCAATTCCCCGTCGGCGTCAAATCACACTGTGTGTGCCGATTCGAGTGTAGCTAAGGAGTCGGTTACACAGGGAGGACCGACAGAGTTCTGAAATCTAGAGTGAAGGAGAATCTTCCTAACTGCGTTCGGCTTGAGGTCAATCAACGGGTGGTCAACCAACTCTCGCCCAATATCCAATCTTCACGCGAGCCGCCAGCGTCATCAATAGGCAGACATCTTTTGGTGAGTAGTCATCGGGTTGACCACGGCTTCGCATTCCGGATATTAGTACGTCATCCAAATCCACACATTTTACGGCTCACCGAGGCCGTGGAGATTAGTCAGCTAAGACGTGCCCTGTGTATGCAGAAACAACCAGTTGTTGAACTTCGGTTGCCCTCGTCCTAGACCAGCACCACCGCACACCCAAATACTTCTGATTGGTTTGGTAACACCACTTGAGGGGTATAAAAATAATTTCTTTTTGTTGCGTTGGTGCAGACGACGGAATATGAAACGTGCGCATTTAGCAGTATTCATGTTTCCGGTGTTCTAAGTTTTTCAAGTGACGAATTCCCACCTTATCTAGTCGTCTGCTATATCGTATCGACACGAGGTTGTAGGCTCGCTGATTAACAAGGTTCGTCTTCCTACTGAAGGGAATCCACTGTTTTAAATCGCCGTGTAGTACCGAATTTAAGACCGTCCTTCCATAAGCTGACAGTATAATTTCGCAATATGCAATTTGTCCAGTCCTAAATTACTATATCAGCGGACATTCCGAAAAATCAGTCAAAAGTGAGACGAAATTATTTCTCCATGATTTTGACGTCATCACTAGTTGCTGTTACTTGAGTGTTACAAATGAAAACTGCTCTACTACTATTAATCTGTTGTGGTGGCCCTAATGTATAAGCGCTTTTGATTCATTGCCTAAAATAGCGCTAATGCGACTTCACATGAGCGATGGCACCGTCCGTCGCTAGCGGGTGGTGCTTAGCGGAGAAACACGGGCAGAGGGATGTGGCAAATACTTGGGCGGATCTTTCGGGTGAAATATTTAAAATTGCGTATAACCTATTCATAAGCTCACCACCCACTATAGAAATGAAAAATTGTCCAAAATATATCCGCTTATATACGGTAATATACGGTAGTACTTTGTTTATAATACCACAAATTATCTAGCTACCTGAGAAAGTTGCAATGTGTTGAGCTGGGTTAGTACGCTTGTTCTAACCTCGCGCTCACACTGGCTTCGCAAATCACTTTAATGGGGCACTGAACAAGTGCGTAAGCCTGTGAGCTGGATGTTGTCTGCCACTGCATTCATAAGCTTCCATGGAGCCAACTTTAATAATGTTATCCAACTAATCACTCTGACTCACTGATGTTCCAGTTGAAAATTCAAGTGTCCTGTGAACCAGTCGTTGAAAAGTGAATGCTCCACATTGCATGTTGCACGATTTTGCATCGGTAGCCAGGCCTCACCTCGATCATAGCTGATTTCCATCGGAATGTGATTGGACTGACTGACCCAGGTGAACCAATGGCTTTCGAGCGCACTAAATGGAATAAAGAAATTTTATTGGATGTAAATAGCAGGCAGACAAAGTCGGTTGCAAGTATAGCATAGAAACATTATCTGAAACCTGTGTGTTATGAATGGGGTTTATAATCAGTAACAAAGCCACAGCTTGAACAAACCGAGGATAGAGATTTCAGTGCCGACTACGAAAGTTGTTACTATCGCCGCAAGATTGGTAAACTCCATGCGATATTTTTAACAGGTAGAAATACAGTACTGTTCTCGAAAGTACAGCAGTTGCTTAAATGCTTTATATATATATATATATATATATGACTTGGGGTGGGATGGGCTGTGGTTTGTTAGGATTTGTGGGGTCGAGACATTGACAGATCGATGACCTGCTACTACTCCGGTCCAGGCGTAGCCTCATGTCCTGATCGCATCCTCGTGGCAACCGCTAGTCGGAATTAGGGTAATACCCTTCTTCCAGGTGAGAACCAGGACACATGCGCGCTAGTCGTCCGACTAATGGTGCCGTTCCCGCCACCTTTTGTGAATGAATTTTATCGAAGGCTTGGACTGAGGACCCGAGTTATTCTCTTGTTTAAGTGCGGACATCGTAGCAGCATATAAGTCAAAGTATCCAACGTCAATAACGCAAATATTCATTACCTTGTGCTACACAGACCGTCGCGCAGTAGCGTGGAATGAATCGCTTTATCTACTACATACAATGGGGTGCATATGAGAAAGCAACTTAGTGCTAGCGTTTCCGTTCAATTTGCTTGCCCTTCTCTTCCGCATTCTCCCCTCCCAGTCTCCATTTCAATTGCTTTACCTCCGCCCGCTCCAATCCCAGCCCTAAGTTCCCGCTTTAGCGAATACCAGGCGCAATCGTGTGCCTCTGCGCAAAGTTATCATCATCATCAGTATACACGTCAGCCAGAGGTGGGAAACACCTCAGCTACTGTGCCGTAATACCTAAAAGAAAAAAGTGAATAAAATGTAACAGGTGCAAGCCAGCTGAGCTACCAGGGTAACGGATGGGCATCGTTCCGGTAAGCTACCTGCCGGTTACTATGCAGCACAAAAGATAATTTCCTATACAAAATCATCAAAAATGCTAAATAATGAGATCGTGGTTGGAGGGGGAGGCAAAGAGGGATGGAGTGGGACAACCAAACTCACAGCACGAATACCACTGAGGTCGGCTCCTAGCCATATCAGCAAGTGTATCCAGCCAAACGTGTTCATCTTCTTTCGGACCCCAACCACAGAGCCGAGAGGCTCCAACCGAGGCCAGCTTCGAAGTGAGGGCCTTCATTCCTCTCGACCAAGTCATCGCTCGTCCACCTCTCCTTTTCTTCCATCCACAACGCTGGCGCGCAAACAACGCACGTCACGGAAGTCGGTGGGCTGGCATGCGTAACACGTGCCGAGCCATTGGAGCCTGGTGCGTGAAATAACGGTGCTGAGCGGTTCATTTCCTTTTCCTGTATCGTAAAAAAGGCGTCGAGCATGCTCGTTACTTTCTCGGTGTCATCAACATTTCCAGGCGGGTCCAACGTCAAAGAGCCGACGAGCGAGTTAAATTGGTTAGTGTTAGCGCTTGGTAGGTATGTTGCTTGCGGTTCCATTTACTAAGCCGGCTCAATAACACTGCAGATGTGACACACTTGCTGCATCGTCGTTAAAATTGGCCAATACATGTTCAAGTGAGTTTAAGTTGTCACACGCAGGTCTGGCTACGCTTAGTGCGAATTTTTCTGGGGTGCCTCCCTGTCGAATATTGCCACATCGATTATTGGCTCTAGGAGATTATTGCTCTGTGCTGAGAGATACGGGGTGCACAATCTTCGTGATGGTGCTAAAATCAAAGGCTGGTAATCCAAAGTGAAACTGGCTACGCTCCAGCTATTGCCCAGTGTTCATCTGGTATACATGTTTTCAGCTCGTAGGAATGATGTACACGTTGAAGAAGTGTGCACCAGACTTGAATTAAAAGTGACTCCCGTCCACATGCCTCCAAATTGTAGTCTTTCGGATTTACACTGGACAGGGGATGCGTGGATAGAGCTGTGTGTGGTGCAGCGCAGGACATCCTTGTTCCCTGTTTAGACACAGGTTTGCTGTGACTTTTCTCAGTACTAATAGCAGGTAAATCCGGACTGGGATACTGCGAACCCTATACGAGTTACGCTAATGCAATTGTTCCATAGGTTAGCTAGCAGGAAGTAGATCAGACCAATATCCATGAGACATCCTCTAATCCAGGGGGAGTACCACGTGGGGTCTCATAAGCTGCCCTCGGGGTTGAAGGACGGGGAATTAGTGGTAAATAAATTGTGCACTGTGCCAGATCTGGTGAGTAACACATAGAGGCCAAAAAGAAATATTTTTATTCCTACGGTACGACGTGCATGAAGATCGATCTAGGCTCGGTCTTGGTTGGGTAGAAAGTGTGCTCACTCAGCTGCGCAGATGTTCCAGAAAGGGCAGATGCTGAGAAGCAGTCGGGTCCCACACTAGCAAGTGAGTTCTAAACGTAAGATTTTAACACCTGTTAACGGAGGAAAATCACTGGGATGCCAGCAAGTTGCTAAGTATGATTGCAAAATTTAGTGCCAAAATTATTTCTCACTCTGCGCATAACTGTCAGTTGCAATGAGGTAATGTTTATGACGGGTATGAAATCAAATGCCTGCGAAGTCCCGTGGGGTGGTTAGGGTGAAAATTACAAAATAAAAGACAGCATCAGTAAAAGTGCGCGTGGTACATAACTAATCAAGAGGTTTTAAGTGGCACATGTGCGGGTATTCCTGTCTGCAGTTAAGGACGATTATGACACCATCCACTGTTTGTTTCGCACCAATGCCGTCATCTGATGGGCAAGGCCTATATCAGGTAGAGTGAATGTGGCAGGGTACTGTCAAGGCGGTTTTATTGCACAGGGATAAGGTTGGGGCACTAGTTACATGATCCCGGAGGCGTGTTAGTGCTGTGACACTCAGATGGAGAAAACGCTTCGTCGACATTCCAGCCGGCTGTACTGCGTGGCCTACTTAAACTGTTGACCCCTCAGAAATGTGAATTTGCTGAGCTTCAAAACAGTGGCATGTGTAGTTGGGGTTATAAACGATTTGCTACACCATTATGAGGTCACCTGTAGACGCCGCTGTACACTTTTAGGAGTGCCTGGACAAACCGCTGACATTCTTCATCGCCCTGTGTTGTGCTGTATCGAGCGCGGTGAGGTGGTGCTACTGCAAAGGTTTCCACGCTTGGATGGCGTATCCTGAGTGAGCCTTCACATACGCGCCAAGCATTTTCGGGAAGGCTGAGGCATCTTACTTCCCGAACGTTGTACGAAGAAAGCAAAAGGGTTGGTTTGCTTTCACTGATGCTTTTTCCGTCTGTCTCAAACAACCAAGGTCAACTTGAATCGAGCACGCACTCATTAGAACCTCACTGTAGTGGCTGTGGCCATAGCAGGTAGTTGTTAGTAGTCTGTTAGCACACACTCAGAATTTTGCACGATGGCATTGAACTGCCGCATGTTCTCGATGGACAATGTGTATGCATTATCCAAGTCATCCTGTAGGGCTGCGTGATCCTCCACTGAAACGACAGAACACCAAATCTTTAGATCATCTGCAAATAGTAGGCAGTTTGAAGAGAGCACACTTGCAAGATTATTTTAGGTAAACCAGGAACAGGCGGGGACAGAGTACCGAGTCCTAAGATACGATGCACTGAATTTAGTTGCGTTCCGATGGGATGTTGCGAACCACTACTTTCAGGTGACGTTGGAGGAGGAAGTCGCTTACCAAGCCCCAGAACAGGATTGCTGATTCCATACTTCTGGAGTTTGTGCAGTGCAATACGATGGTCCAATCAGTCGAATGCCTTTGAGAAATCCAGGTAGGCCGCATCTACTCCTAAGCCAGTATACACAGATTCCATGCAGCATGCACGAGCAATTAACAGATTAGTAGGGCAGGACTGATTTAGTCGTAATCTGTGCTGCTCTGGAGCGAGAATTTTGCAACCGTCCAGGCACTCCATGAGCGCCTCAGCTACAATGGAGTCCATGATCTTGGAAATCCTCGGAAGTAGTTTTATCTGGCGATAGTTTGCTGGTTCTACACGACTACCGCTTTCGTAGATTGGCGTGATGATCACTTGCTTCTACATCGTGGGGACATGCATCTCATTAACGCGTCGCTGAAAGAGTGTTGCTACCTCCTCAGCTAAGTTCATGGCAGTAAGTCTCAACGCCTTCGGGCGAATGCCGTCTGCACCCGGGGAGCTGTACTCGCGCAAGCACATCAGGCGTTTCAGTACAGATGTTGTTGTAAAAGGCATGGGGCTAAGACCTTATGGCGATATAGTCTGTGTAGGCAGGATGTATGATGATTGCACACTGTGGTAGGTAAGGCCAAATTGTTGTTCAAGAACCTTGGCCGCCTCTGGTGCCGTTTCGGTTAACTCGCATGCTGTGTGCAGGGCAGGAATTCTGCGCTAAACCCGACGAAGTTTGTTTACGTGTCTGTTTAGCAGCTTGGGGTTAGAGCAGAATTTTATCGCAAGGGCGTTTTGGTTCTTTGCTTTATGCTCTCAGACGAGTTCCACACAGTGGTTCCTTTGTGTTGTATATTCATCCTATCTGTCTTCGCTAGGACAGGTTATGTGGGCAATCCGTGTGAAGTTCCACAATGCCATGTATTTTCGAGTCACGCTCCTTAGGAATGACTTAATTTTCTTAGTCGGTGGATTTTAGCTTCTAAGGTTCTTGTCACGAGCCTGTTGAAAATGTTGACAAGTTCCGCGCAGGCCACCTCAGAGGACCATTCGGTTAGGGAATATCAGCGTGTTGCACTAAGGTAGCCGGACATGTCAGCAAACTTGGTTACGACGTGAGAATAGCCGGTAAGTTCTTTAGGATACTCTGCACCATCATTCCTTATACACATTAGCTGCAGGTGGAAAACACCTCAGCTATTGTGCTGCAATCCAGAAGACCAGAGGAAGAAG